TCGCATTTCAGTTCAAAAGTTTATTTTATGGAATCGATCATACAGAGGCGAATCTTCTGGGGCCCTCAGCTTTTGTATCTGACGTTCTAAATTTGCTGCGCTTTCAATGCAGGCATCGAATTCGATGCAATGCATTAAAATGTGTCTACCATTTGAATGAAGGAGAAGTTACATGAAACCTGATTCGAATCAACAAAATCTACAGGCACTCTCTATCACTCACCGAATGGTCTGGCGCGAACAAAAACCCTCTCTGGGATATCGTCTCCCATTCCGCGAGAAAAGTTAGTACTCGAGTTCGAATAGCACAAAGGTGAAATGATTTGCCCCTTCAAAACAAACAAAACAAATGAATTAAACGAGAAATAATGGGCTCTTGTTTGATTTTGGGCCTGGGGTGTCGAGTCCCGCGCAAATACGATTTCCATTCAGGACCATCCCTGGCACGACACCCCAAGCCCTTTAAATGGCGCACTTTTCCTTTTTCGGTTGCGTGGGTCGCAACCCCCCTCCTCCCCTCCAAGAGCTCGCAAAACCGCGATATCTTCCATGGGCTTACACTCGTCCAACAATTACTGCCTCACACCTTATCGATTGATAACGCGAGGGTAGCAAATCCAGCGTGGAAGCCAGCGTGATCGCTTCCTTTAAGGTCCAGGATAGGTGAAAGTAATTTGGAGCTCGACCAGGGAATACGCTAAGAGAGGTAAGAAATCTTAAGCTCCAGAATTTCTTACCGGGCTCATTTCGGATCATGGTGATTCGCAATGTCATGAAAGAAATAAATATTGTCGCGGTACGAGGGCTCTTGACGAGCTGCCTCGGCCAGCTTCTGGAGTTCCGCAGCCTAGACCTCTACCTACACAATGGTGCCCATAACGAAGAATTTGTAGTGGAGCTTCCGTAAGAGCCCTACCTGTAATGGAGTGTGAGGGACGCTGCTGGCTTCTTATAAAAATATCAAAAGATCGAAAGCGCTGGTAAAGGTGAAACACGCTGTAGCGCTGAACGGCATGCCATAGAAGCTATTGCAGATAGTGTCAGTCGTTGACACGAATCCATAGTTTTGGAGACATTTGTACTAGACAGTGACTCGGAGTACGGATTTACTAGTGGTGAGATATTTTTGAATTGGGACTGAAAATATGGACTGGCAGCACTTATATCCACCTCGTGGATTACAGCCTCGAGAATGCTCCACCAGTTGTTTGTTATAAATGTCATTTATGAATTTTGAAAAAAAAGAAATTTTGGAAAGAGTGTCGCAGAACTTTCTTTCCAACCAAATATTTTGTTTATGCCCCATTACATATAATGATTCACTCATTCAAAAGTGAAATCAAATGACGAGGCGCTGACTCTTGAGGAGTTGAGAAGAACGTGGGAGTTGCTAAATATGGATACACCAGGTGAGCCGCAAAAAAAGCAAAGAGTGTCTAAAGAGAATCACAAAATAGGCATCAGTTCGTTGTGGGCCTTTATTTCGCCTCAAAGCGGTGCACGGCTAAGGACGATGAATTAAGGACGGGACTGTTACAGGCCCCATGCCGTTCATGCTATTCAAAGAGTTTCGTGGCTTGGACGCTTCCTTGCACACACACTGTCCAAACCCCAAGGCGAAACGGATTTCGGAGCGGAGCCCTTTAAGTTAGTATCTTCTAGGACAGGACCTCTGGTCGTCGATTCGGTAACGTCATACTATGCTGGTGCTAACTTAGTTAGGGGGGGGGGGGCACGCGGCGGCGCGGCAGTCTGCTCGCCTGGCATGTTCGGAAATCCGTGGGCCAGGGGGAGTGTAGCCAGTCTAGGGGGGGGGGGGGTGGGGCAGTCACTTGACATGCGTGAAAAGCTGGAATGTTCGAGTTTACACTGTCTCGCTCGAGAGAGCCCAGGTGAGCAGACTGCCGCGCCGCCGCGTGGCCCCCCCAACTAAGTTAGCACCCCTTGCTTACTCTGGATCCACTACTAATCTTCCGATGCTGTTCGCTTTATATCCATCGCTCCTCTAAAACGGCATCAGCCTTTGGCGATGTCAACTTTGCGATCGATGGCACCGCAGTGCGTTGCGTGACAGCAACTGGGTGATTTCATGGTCGCGACGCGGACCGCAACGCTAAGCGAATCGCGCGGTATCCTCTAAAGGGAAATCAGCCTTCAAACCATGCCACTCATTTAAGAGCCTATTTTAGGAGGAGACAAGCTAATAGCCGATTTATGTAGAGCCGGCTTGATCGCTTAGATTAGAACTCATGATTTCGAGCAGATTCTCATTATGTATTCCAGTTCTAATTCTCATCCTATCATGATAAAATATGACCCCTTCGCTTGTCATTTGTGTTAGCCTTGGACGTCGGTCGATCGAGAGGGCTGCGAGCTTCTATTTGGTGAATTGAAAACACCATTTTGTACCATAACAGGCTGACAAGTGTTTTTGGGACAGAAGCGCAGGTTTCAAAGCAGAGCTATGCACAAATAGAAAACTGCTTTCTTGGCTCTCAAAAGATTCCCTCATATTTCAGGTCGACCTAGGGGGGGGGGGTAGTAGCCCAGTAGAGACAAAATTCCTTCTGCTACAACGAAGGACTGTCCCTTACCATCTTTTCACTTTTATGAACGGAACGTTTTAACGTTGTCCGAACTGCTAGTCGGCGTAACGAAGAGCTACTCCCTCTAAGAAGCCGTCCATTATTGAAGGCACGGATGGAACGGGTGTTAGAGAAATTGCCTCCTTGAGAGAGATAGCAGGACCACCAATCAAAGGGTGGTGGTATTGTCGCGAGTGGTAACAGTGCGCGACAAGGGAGCTGATGCCTTTGCTTGATCGCTGCAACCGCTGCCATTTTTATCAATCGCAACATGAGTGCCATCTGCACTACGATTTGCTCTTCCACATTCTCCCTTTTCTCGCAGCACTGTGTCTTTCTGTCATGCCACGGTCGACCTAAGTTTAAGCGTTTTCGTGGTGATTACTGTTTTCCTCCACAGCGTTTCTCTTCGCATTTTGCCCTATTCTGAAAATAATAAAACACCATTCGACTGCAACCAGCGCTTTTGATCCATCGCTTTAGCCAACCCTGAGTTCAACGACGGTGGACATTTAAAAGGGTGAGGGCTGTGTACCAGGGCTTGCTTCTCCATGAGGAGGGGGAGGGGGAGGGAAGACATCTGACGAATATTGTACTGTAAGTTTCCCTGAACGCTGGCACCCTGCACAAAGAAAAACTTGCTGATGTGCGCCAAGAGTGGAAATTTTTTCGGCTTTTTTTGCTGTAGATCGCTTAAGAGGTCCTGAGCCACCGCTGTCGGCCATTGTGGTTTTTTTGGCGATAATAATTCCTGAGAGTGCCGCTCACCGTTTAAGGACGTGTTTTAATTAGTTAGCAGATTTCTTTTCAAAATTGCACATACAAAGAAAATTTTAAAGTCGGATCGTTAAGGAAAACACTGTTCGATTGAGCATAAGAATACTGGCTTATTAACAAGACTCTCGCCCCAATTGGGACGCGAACTGGCACCTCTCGCTTATCGGGCCAATACGCCAATGTCTTGTGAAACTGTCAGGGCGATCGGCTGCCAAAAATAGCAGTCAATAATCAAAAACCAGTCGAAAATTTCAAATGAGTATTTTTACAGAAAGAATGAAGACTTATAGGAGTTGCAGAGGAAGACCTTGAGGCTCAACGAGTGTTCTGGGATGAGCGTAGCTTTCCATCAATGATATGAAAAAACTCACAAATCAGCCGCGTCCTGCACTTGAAACACAACAAGCATCGCAGCGAACATGCATATAACAAAGAACATCGTTAAAGGATAAGTAATACCTAAAATACAAAATAGTTAAGCTTGAAATGGGTGACTGCACCGAGAACGAGAACGCCGCTCGTAGCTACATACCGTATCTAACAATAGCGTGCTTCCAAGGCGGATAGAACGGCTCCATTCGACCTGAGACCGGATTCGGCGCAAAATACTCACCCTCAAATTTCTATGGTAGTTAATAGAAAGAGTATTCCACACGATCATTCTTCGTACCCGAAATTGAGCCGTGGATCCTGTAGGTAGGAGTCGCAGTTGCTGTCATACGTTCCCCATCTGAAGGCTAATTCAGCTTGTTTCCTCTTCCAAGATTCCAAGTAGGCCGTTGACCAAACGCAGTTGAAAAACGCAAAGCATACAAAAGATATGTCGGAGAATAACTGAAATGAAGCGTATTCCGCTATCTGGAGCGCCTCACTTAGCACAGCACCAGAGCATACGCTACTACGGATCATAGTGTCAGCCCTACAAAAAGAGTTCACATGACTTTAGGTTGAGGTCAGAAATGACAATGTGATGAATAATGATGTGGCAGTGAAGGAATATCAGGAGATACGGTCAAATAGCGAGAGAGTCCCTATTTTGGTCGCTGTTTTTGGGTGCTAGATGACTTTCCACTGAGAAGGATAACATTAACGTGAATGGCCTGCTCTCTCTGCCACAAAGGGGAAGAACGGGTGGATGCAAGACAACGTTTGGGCGGATTGGAGGAGAAGGGTGGAAAAATGAACAGGGCCACGTTTCGACCGAGCTCACACCTTTTAATACCTGTAATTTTCTTTTTGTTCACGGTTACAAAGATTTGGACGTGACCATGAAAGCCGAAGCAAATTCCCGTAATCACTGCCTCCGACCCGGCACCAAAGGTACTGGTTCAGCAGCTAATGCTATTAGCACGCCCATTAATCATCTGATTTCGCATACAGACAAGCCTCATCTTTCGAATCACTGGTAGCATTTCATTGGAAAAAAATGGAATCTAAAATTTTAACATCGCCTAGTTTGATGTCATGCACCGCACCTTATCATTCAGGTGACTGCTCGACTTCTCAAGCCTTTACTTTGTCGTAATTACGGACGCAAACAACCGATGTTGACCTCGCATGCCACTTCTTGGCGCCTTTCTCTGCACAACTTACATACACTGGCACTAAAAATGATCAAGTGCCAGAAAAGGCTACCCGAAAGTCTTGGAACAGAGTGATATTATGCTACAACAGCGAGAGTTGGTTTTGAAGGCAGTGAACGCGATGGCTAGGAGGGGCAGTCGCAGTCGATCAGAGGCCAATGAAAAGGACTATGCGAGAGACGGTCTAGCCTAGTGCTCGCTAGCGTTAAGGCAGCGATTACGATAAAGTGGGAGCGCATCGCGGAAGCATGTGCACCACACGAATCAGCTTACTTGCTGGAAGCGAGGTGTAGCGCTTTCACGACGCAAGGTTCGCTGGTTGCTGAGCAGGACTTCGAAAGCACTCCGCCCCCAAAAGCGATCCGCCCACTAGTTTAGTTGGTGATTTGGACGAGCTGCGTTGCCAGCAGCGGCACACTAAAGCAACTCGATTGTAGACTTTGCGAATCGCGCGATTCGCTAGCGTCTGCGGTCGCGTCGCGGCCAGTGAATCACTCAATTGGCTGGTACCGCAACGCGACCGCGGACGCTAGCGAATCGCGCGATTCGCAAAGTCTGACATCGGCATGATTGGCATGCTGTCACCAACGCGTTGCGCTGAACTCGTTCATACGTCCGCTTTCTGAGCTGTTACCTGTTCATGAGTAGAAACTAACGGCCAAAAAAGGGGTCCCATTTTGCGTTTTCTCGACGGATTTCTTCGCTTTTTCGCTACTGGCGCACCACTGAGCCCCACCAGTCTCCTATAAACCCTTCTTGAATCTATCGTGATCGCTACCTTTAAACCTCCTCCGAACACCGTGGCAGAAGTGGCGTCACCGACTTATCTTTGCCTCCCAGCCATCGTAACCTCTGCCTTCAAGTAACCTAAAGTTATTCTATCCAGCAAAGCAAGCCCACTAGCCTACAAGACATTGGTTAACCGTCATGCACTTGGACTAACGTGAAGAAGCTCTTTATACTGGCAAGACGTCGGTGCAAATAGTAATAAAGTAAAGCTTCGTCTACCTGTTTTGCGAATAAATGAGATCTGGGGCACGAGTGAGCGGCGCGAAGGTGAACGAACTATGGGAGGATAGGAGGTAACTTGTATAAGGAACAATATCAATATCAGGAACAATCAGAACATGTAGGAAGCTGGGACGTGGCTAATCTCTACTTTACAATTCAAGAGGTGTTCTGGTTTCTAAATAGTACACCAATACCTTTGTAAGTAAAATGTGCCGCACCCGTGCTGGCAAAAACAAAATGGTTCATTTGTGATCTTGTTTAAAAAATCAGTTTATTAAGGATCCTAACCTGGAAGGAATCCAATTTGTCGTCTTTGCTCGATGAAGCTTTGTACTTGAAACCAGCGAAAAAATACATAAATAGGCCTAAACTGAGAGCTTTTCCATGGAGCATACGTAGCATACATAGAACAAATACCGCTCAACGATTAAAAATTTCTGAAGGCATCGGCCACAAAAAATAAAAGTTAACCTAAGAGAGCGGGAAACCAAAGAGCTGTAGTCATATGCCCGAGCCAAGAAAAGTACATGGCAATCTCGGTGCCAAAATAATCCCGGATCTCATCCAATGGTTGTTCACCTTGAATAAATTCACTTGAGCATTATCGAGTGCATATCAAACATCATTCTAACTAATAAAACCTTAACATGAATCAGGTTTCTGTGAATATTCTGTAATAAACAACAGTAAACTGTAACGAAATTTCTGTGAATATTGGACAAACATACCTGTAGACAGTACCCATTTGTGTTGCAGATGTTTCAAAAATTCTGAGCTGTGCAGTGGCAAAACATTTTCGATGAGGTTGGCAGAGATCAGTTGAGGAACTGGAAGAATTGCCGTATTTGTCTTCATATCGGCCCTGGTCGGGCACCTCGGAATTTTGTGTTGAAATGTTTTCGAATTGTGCAGCGAACAAGGTTGTTTACGTTCATTTAACTTTTTGCTCACCAGAAGCCTAAACTATATTTGTTTTTTATAACCGTATGCATAACCCGTAACAGGGCGGAAGTGGTGTAGTGGCAAGTGGCACGCTTACCACGCGAGCGGTCCGGGGATCAAATCCTGGGTCGTGAGTCGCCCGGGCCAAGCCTTCCATCCCTCCGGGGTCGGTTAATTGGTACCAGACTTGTCTGGGAGGATAAAAACACTGACTTGTACATCGGCTGGCCCCCGCAAGTCATTGTATAGGCCACATCGCATTCAAACGCCACTACGAATGTACAAATGGAAGTAGAATGCGTGCCGCATCCCAAAAAGGGATTGATCAACGGCAAATGCTTTATCCTTTAGCTATTTCAGCTTAAAAAGGTTAAATAAAATAGAGCCGCAATGTCTTAAAAATCAACACAATTGCATAATAATTGATGGAATTCCCAGAAATTCTGGAATCGTGGTGATTTTTTGCCGTTTCAACTGTTTTATATAAAGCTCTGCGCGCCCCCACGTCCCTTTGCACCATGTTTGATTCTAACTCGATACGATAATCAGGTAATTTCAGAGTGAAGCAAATGGTGGACATGATGAGAATGCCAAGTGGCGGAATCAATCTCGTCCGTTGTCATCTTGTATGCGTTACTCACTCAGATTATCCTTATGAAGGTTTGCCTTGGAAAAAGTACGTGTACATGGTCAGGGCAGGGCCCATCTTGTCAGGCACTTCCTTATAAAAACCGCTTTCTTACAAAGGTGGAATATAATCTTTTGAATGTGAGCTTCCAAAATTAATCGCAGGAAATATCACTCACCAATCGCCATCCCTTCCCGTATTGTAATCGTCCGCGTTGGTAGATCGAGATTGATTCCGCCACTTGGCGCTCTCATCATGTCCACCATTTGCTTCACTGAAATTACCTGATTATCGTATCAAGTTAGAATCATTCGCAATAATGGAGGGAATGTGAAGACTGTGACAGATTATAGTTAAATTCTAAATGCTTTCGATAGGAGCAAAACAACATCACCCACAAGCCATGTGAGACGAAGCAATTACTGATCCCTTCTCATGTGAAAAATGGTGACTGTGGCGGATAGGAGTAATTCAATAAAGAGCACGAACCATTTAATCAGCTGAGGTTACGTAATGGTTAGAGATTCGTATGAGCAGCATCCAAGAAATAATTCTGTTTGAATTCA